AGCCATCTGTTATGGCTAATGTGTAATTTTTCGTTTATAAGCAGGAATTATTAACATTATCCAGATAATGTTAATCTTAACTAGTCAATATTGGACAATGTTAGGAGTTTTATATTAAATAGACTATAGAGTTTTTATTAGCATTTTATACAATAATAAAGCGTCGGACTTCCAGAGTATAATATTTTATCTTGACTTGTAACCGAGTTAGTCAGTTATCTTACCGATAAAGTGAACAATATATCGATATATCGATGTATAAATGCAAATCTTCTAGCATTTTGTGCAATTCAAAATGTTACGGAAGCATGCCATGTAATAGTAAAGATTAAAACATTAGCATTTTAATTCTATAGGTACTTAAAATAATATTTTAAAAAATAATTTATAATATAAAATGTAATTCGATATTGTGTCATTAGTAGGTTAGATTATTAAAAATAAAAATAAGTTCATATTAATAATATTACGTATTTTATGGTAATTACTAATTTATTACATGTTAAATATATTTAATATTGTTAATGATTTACAATGATTTTATCTCATGCACGTTAAATTTTTATGGTTGTTTAGACATTATCCAAAAGTTCTTGGCTAATATCATATTATCCGGTTAATGTTAACATTAGCCAATATTTAATAATATTCATGGCGGCTAATGATAACAGTTGGCTAATGTTGACTTTAGCCGGATAATGTTGACATTATCCAAATGTTAACATTACCCATAACCAGGACCGGATTTGACGGGGGGCATTAAGGGCATATGCCCCGGGCCCCCAAATTTTAGGGGCCTCCGAGACTCGAATCAGAAATATAAAAAAATTGCAATTTGGGTTCTCAAACTATATTTTAAAAAAAAATATAGTTTTGAAAATAAAAATTAATTAGGTATAAAATATAAATTAAATTGGAACAGTTTATTAATATATATATATATTTAATTAAATACATTTTAGCCTTAGATTATATTTTTTTATTAATAAAATAAATAATAAATTACTGTATGACTTGTTCAATTTCTTTAACATAAATAGTTATTTTTAGTTGTAACTATAAATATATTTTACGCATGGTATAAGTTTAGGTAGGTATGCAATTTTTATTATGGACCATTTAGAGCCCCAAAATATTTTTGCCCTGGGCCCCTTAATTTTTAAATCCAACCCTGCCCATAACATATATATCAAATTAAATACCTATAACTGTTGTATATTATACTTTACTACATATTTATGTAGTAAATTTATTTAAGTAGTTTAGGTAGGTATGTTGTAAGCCTACTCAAATACTCAATGGACTCATTGTTAAATAAATATTATATTATTCTAAAATATTATAACAACCTTACCTGAATTTTAAAAAATTTTCTTTTTATTATTAAATAATTGTGTGTTTGTAAAGTGTAGTTTAATTCAGGATGGGACTAGAGATTCTCCCCAAATTTATATAAGCCTTGGGGCCCGTGTACGTGGCACACTCTGCACACCCGGTTTTTGTGGTACTGCTACGCGCACACTAGAATATAATTTTAAATGTATAAAAATACGAGCCAAATGTTCAAGGATTATTTAATAAAAATGTTTTCTAAATTTCATTATATTTGCACCCAATTTACAAAACTATTTTACAAAAAAAGTTAAGTATCATCATTGATGATTCATCAACATTGTTTTATTATAAAGTATATTATTCAAGATGTGCGATATGATATTGACAAATTATAGGTAAAATTTCATGAGTTTCTAAAAGTTTCTCTGACGATAAAACTGAAACAAACGTATAATTGTATTAAAAAATATATTAAGGGGCGATTCCTTAGGAAGCGTCTGTAGACTTTTGGCCAACGTGGCTGCCGCAGTGGGGCCGATGGTTTGGACGCACCGATACTACGTTACTTATTTTTAAATAGAAACGAATTTCCTAGACCGCCACAGACGCGCGCGACAGTCGCTTGCATCAATAGACACATTGCGATGACCGCTTCGAAGGCAGTCAGATCGCACGAGACGCGCGACCACCATATGCAAATATATTATTATTTAATTAATAATTGTAATTATTAGCTTCTTTTTCTACAATATGTCATCAAAATTACTTTTTTTTGTATGAAGAAGATGTAATGTTGGTTGAATTGGTCAGCAATTACCCTTGCGTATTTGATTTAAAACATCAAGCATACTTTTTCTGCAGATTAAGTGACATGATGTCTACGTTCTACACTGCACTGTATATAATATTTTAGTTTTCAATATACACAATAAAATTAATAATCAACAAGCGTCATTTGAGGTATGCAGGGTATGCCAGTGCATACCTAAAATTTCCAAACACTGTATTTTGGCCTGAATTCAATTTTTCTGCGCCATATCAATAAATGGAATCCTGTGATCCTGGTTTCGATTTTTCTATTATATATTATTACTAGGGCTCGGATTTTAAAGCATAATAAATGACAAAAAAATCACAAAATTGTTTAAAAAAAAGCAAAAATGAAACATATTTATTTTTAAAAAAAGCAAAAAAAAGTATGACAAAAAATTCAACAAAAATTAGTTATAATTTAATAAAACTTAAAAAAAATTGAAAAATTAATTTAAATTAAAAAAAGAATTTACTACCATGTATTTGGCAAGATTTTCAGAAATTAACTGACTCTATTGTCTGACAGGATGTTTTTAAACATGGAAAATTACCGCTCTATATCCACCGAAGTAATCGTTGCATACTTCGATATCGATGTTATACGATTAGTGAGTACTGAGAGTAATTTCTACAGACTATACGCAATAGCCGATAAGCTATCGACTTCTAAGCTGTGTCTGTAGATCTATAATCTATACGTTTAAGGTCGTTCCACACTAATGGTATGGTCACGGTCCGGTGATGGGTAGAATATAATATCTATATTTATATTAATTATATAATTATTATTGCGGGTTTTCACATTTCTTATAAATTATATTAACACTTTTTTTATTACTATAGCATAACATACAAATAAAAATTCCACGGCTAAAATAACTGAAAAAAAGCAATAAAAAAGCAAAAAAAGTATTTATACTAAAAAAAGCAAAAATAAATTCGTTTATTTCGAATCAGATTAACATGAAACGAATTTATGTATAAAAATTAGATTTCTATCTTAAATATATAAAAAGAAGCATTTACTTTAGAATCCGAGTCCTAATTATTATCAAATATTCAATAATCAATTATAATTGTATATATTTTTCCACATATATTTTACTATGGTTACGAAAGTGATAACAATTTCTGTAGCATCTGTTTTCCTCAACCAGTCATACCCCCCAACCACAAACAGCTGGTCAACTGCAGCACTATTATATATTCACCATGGTAAACAAGGATAACCGAAAATTAACTTTATAAATAGATTCAATATTAGCATTATGCACACAGTATACTCTGTGGCATTATTGTACCATATAATAATGTTGGGTGGCCATTCGTCCCGGATTTCCCGGGACATTACTGGTTTATGTACCCATGTCCCGGCGTCCCGGACAAAGTTTTCGGGACACCGAATTGTACCGGTTTTGGACTTTTGCATAGTAATGTCCCGGAAATTGAAATCTTTTTTAAATTGGTATTCTTTTGCTTACTCGGTTATCGATTTTATTTTGAACAAATACTAATTATAAATTATTCCGATAACGAACGTCGGAATGTACGACAATCACATTTCTTTCTAAATTTAGCCAGCCTACTGCCTTTGACTACATTAATTTTTAATCGGGAAAAAACCATATTATAATTTTAAATTTCGAGTACTACGGTTACGAAAGATAATATTACAGAATGTATATTTTATCTATAGTCCATACATTATACATAAATTAACAGTTATTTGTTGACGATACAAGTTGTACGAGAGTAGACAATTTTTCAACAGTTTTATACGTATTTATAATTTACAGTGTCGTAATTTTTTACAGTTAATTTTTTTACGTAGTGACTATGCCCCCTAAAAGACTTTGTATTTTTAACGAAAAGTTGCAAAATGATTTCCCATTTATTAAAAAACTTAAATCTACTGACGATTTCAATGTACAGTGTACAACTTGCCGTGGAACTTTTTCAGTAAGTCATGGTGGACGATCGGACATAAACGATCACCTCAAAATGCAAAAACATAAGTTAGCTACAAGATCATCGGTTCAATTTGGTAAAGTTTCCAACTATTTTTCTGGTTTGGTTCGTACTGAAAATGATTTTTTGTTAGCCGCTTGTGAAGCTACTTTTGTGTATCATACAATAATTCACAATCACAGTTTTCGTTCTATGTCTTGTATATCAGAATTGATTCGTCAATGTTTAAACGACAAAAAATTCACGTGTGCAAAAATAAAAACCAGGGAAATAGTTGTCAGCGTTATTTGCCCGTACATAGTTGATAATACTTTAAAGGAACTATCTTCTGCGAATTATGTATCTGTTTTAATTAAAAGTTCCAACCACAAAGCAATTAAACTAGTACCTGTTGTTGTTCGTTATTTTTTTCCTCATGTTGGCGTAATAAACAAAATACTAGAGTTCTCAAATTTGCCTGGTGAAACGTCTGATTTAATTACTTTTAAAATTATTGACATTATTACTAATTTCGAATTAAAGCAAAAAATTATTGCACTATTGGCTGATATCACAAACACTAATTTTGCTGGATATAATAGAAAAGGAAAAAATAACGTGCACACAAAACTTCAGACAGAATTAAAAAAAGATATATTTGTATTAGGTTGCAACGTTCATATCTTACATAACGCTATACAAATCGCTCAAATTATCGATATCGATCAAATTGTATTGTTTAATGTGATCGGCAAGTAAATATAAAAAACGGTTGATAAAAACGTATTGAAATGTTTCTAACGGTATTAATGATAAATATAGTTTTATTAAAAATTAACACAGATACAAAAGAAATACTAATTAATTTGTTATTAATAGCAATGAATATGTTAATAATGACAAAATATTGATAACCAATCATAAGAGTTTTAAAAAACTTCTTAGTATATAACGTTTTTTATTCTATCTCCTGTTGAAATCAAAATCATTAGATGATTCGGGTCCCCAGTTCGAGAAAATCCGACGTATAATTGTCCATGTAAATAGCATTTTGTACGTCAATGTATCTAAATGATTGACCTTGAAATTTTTAAAAAAAAATTTTAACAGGGAATTAAAGCCATTTGAATGAAAACGGCAAATATAAGGTTTTGTAATAATGTAGGTAATTTAGACTTGATTGTCTAACCATAAATATGTAAGAGTAAAATTGTATGAAGGAGACCGTTTTTGTTGTTCGATTTTGGTTATTTTACTGTAAAATATTAATGTGAGATCCGCCTTTACCTTTAGTATACATTCAATTCAGAAACTCGACACAAGTATCCACTCCGACAGTCCAGAACTATATCTCTGTGATCTTTATCTTCTTTAACTAATAATACAGCTACTTCATCGATTATAGGTGCATTATATTAACCTCTATGTTCTCCTTAAGGAACTTGATCAGCGTGAATAATTAACTAAAAATTTTGCAACTCATCAAAGGACCTTGACTTTATATTAGATCTGAAACTCTGTATGAGGTAATTATTTTCACTCAAAACTGTTTGCAATGATTCAATGAGATCTCTTTTTAAATTTAAAATTATACTTGTTCGAGTAGATATTTGATTCGACTCTGACATAAAATTTAGTAAAAATTTAGCATTATTTCTAATTTCGGGTAATAAACTACCTGTCAAATGTTCACCCTGAATTTTAAAAGTGGGTATGAAATTCCATTCGGCTATTTCGTTTTTCATTGCATTTTTATAGAGAGTGAGAATTATCAATTTAACTTTAAATTAGGTCCGGAGGATCCTCAAAATGGTCTAAAACAACTACTCTACCGTCAGTGCACCTAAGTCCATGGGTTTCATCTTTCCATTTTTTTTGCAGGACACGTTGGATATAATGTAGTTATTGGTCCTATTTGAAGCGCTGGAATATTTAAATAATCAATTTCTGATCGGTAATTAAATGCTGATTTCAGACTCAAAGCATCACGTTGCTGCTGTGCAAGTCTTTGAGAACATTCTGGTGTGTTCTTTAACTGCCTTATTATACATTCACGTGGCACTCTCGGTATGATGACGAATTGGCAACTTACCCGAAATTGAACTCCGTTAGCATGCCCAATAAACCTTCAAAAGTAGTATTTTATATCAAACTAGCTGAATAATCCGGCTTCGCTCGAGTGTAGTTATTGATTTCTCTAAATTAAATTCTTAAATCAGATATTTATTATTTACCTTCTTTCTTTTTCCCGTCCCCTAGTCCTTAAATAAACGACGTGAATTTTCAAACGTAAATAATAGCACGTTGATTGTACAGTTAGAGTTAGTTTTGTAATAATGAATAGCCGACTTTGTGTGTTTCGCAGTAACAAAACAAAAATGCAATAAAAATCATATCATTTTCCCTTGAATATCATTTATTTTTTTTCCAAATTTTTTATTATCAATCCAACAAATTTGGGTAAACAATATTCTTTGTTTGTCCATTTGAGGCAAACACAATTAAACAATTTAATGTGTGCCACGTAGTTGTCTGTGCGAAAAAACACGGATTCTCCAAATTCAAACCGTATACTTGGAGCGTTTGTTCTTGTGCCTTAATGTTCGACATGGCGAATGACAGGCGCAAAAGAAATGCAATCGTTTGGGTTCAAATGGCATGTCTGTTGGTATCAGAGGAATACGTGTGATGAGTACAACTTTCCCCTTCGCTTTGCCAGTCAATATTGTGGCTTCGGTTAAATTCGGTAACAATCTTTTTACATCTAATCTTGTGCCGTTGCACAGTTTTGGTGCATTCAAATTCCGTAGTAAAATAATTGATAAGCCAACCTTCAAATTAAAGCAGTGCGACAGCATACCGGGCGGTTCTAACAAATTCAAAAATTCAACTGGAAGTTGACTGCATCATCTTTATTCAAAGCGCTATCAACAGAGTTGTATGATGTCACTGCACCAGGCAATTTTTCTTGGATGAGATAATTGATAGCATTGACATGCACATTTTTTGGTGCATGCATTTCACCTTTCCAGTGCAATAATGGATACTGCAATGCATCATAGCTGCGATAAAGCTCTGATACACACTGCAATTGCTCATTACTTCGGTGTAGCACAATATCGTGAGATGGAAACTGCTCTCCAACAATTACAATGGCCACTTCATCAATAGTTGGTGCATTGAAGCGTCTTGCATTCTCTTCAAAGGACGTTTTGTCGACTCTTATTACTATCCTATGATTATCAGATGGCATACAATCAAGAGGGGTTTTGAACAATTGAACTAATTCATTGTGTTGTTGGAAAAAAATTTGCAGGTCCAAAATAATTTGACGCCTTGCACTTGGAACAATTGCACAATGCCGATTTAATTCATCATTGCTATTCTCAACAAAATAAATTTGCAGAAATTGAGACTCAGTGTCAGGGAATGATAGTAATGATCCAGCTCTATGATAAATCTGGCCTTGAATCTGTAACATATGAGAAATACAATTTGACATTGGAGCAGAATTCATGAAAACGTCAAAATAATTGCTGGTCATGTTGCATTTTTCGAAAGATAGTCCGTATGAAATAAATACCTTGAACGTCGGCATAAAATTGTCTCTTATAACTTTCGTCGCACCAAAAGAAGTCATTATTATATTCTTGAATATGAGACAAAAAATGCTTGGACGTTGATGATGATCCAAAAATCAATGAGTGCTGTGGATCAGGTGGAGATTCGAATGCTGGCAATTTCACTTTTCCATTAGCACAACACATGCCAGCCGTTTCACCTGGAAATTTGACTGCAGCACAATGTAGACATCTCACCGTCATTCCACCAGTAAGACCATGTTCACTGTAATCTATTTCACTGTCGTAGTAATAAATACAGCAAAGTCTATGGCTTGTGCACGACACGAAATTCATGAAGTTCGTCTTGATGCTGGATTTATTGACGGACCTGCAGAAGAAGTTCGACGTGCGTTTCATACTTATTGAACAACATTTCGTTGTAATTGTGCCTCTTCACTTTGAGATCTCCTATGAGACTGTTGGGTAACATAATTACGTAATCGTCGGCCTATATTCTGTCGTCTTAGTCATGGCATTTTTTACACCTAAACCCATACAATTAAAATTAAATAAAAATCAATCTCATTTAATCTCAAATCAATTAATATTTATCCAGAAAATAGAATTGTTGTCATATCGACGCCTCAGTTCAAGACTGGAATAACACAAATTATGAAACTACTGGTTCTAAAATGAAATAAACGACCTCTAGAGGTGAATAATTCAACTAAAAGTTATTGCGTTATAGAATCGAAATCGTCGTAATTTTGCAAATAATATCACGTAGATAACTCAATTCTGCATATTTTTGAGTTATTGCAGTCTTGAATTGAGGCAACGATATGTATGTATGTTGTTTTCGGCCATGTCATCAGGTGTACACATAAGAGGCCATAACTCCGAAATAACTTATCGTATAGCGTACAAACTTTACATAAACTATCTACATATCAATCTTAATATGCCCTGAAATTTTTATCGAAATTGGTTTGGTGGATCTTGAGAAATAAAATGTATTCAAAATGTACACTTATTTTGTATATATATAGATTAAAAAAAAATAACTATGTTTGTAACCTTGACGACCGTAAAATTTTAAAAAATATAAATAGTGTTGTCGCAAAATGGGAACATAAAAAGCCTGTTCTTGAATTTTTCAAGAACTTTATACTTATTTTGAATTAACAAATGTGGTACTAAAACCTTTAGCAGACTGTCAGATTTAACAGTAAAAAATGTCAGCCAAATCGGTTCAGTAGTTTTCTGGGTTAGCATGGTCGTAAAATACCCGTTACAATTTTACTTAGTACCTAGTAGAGATGATTATTTAATTCAATTTTTTCTGTACTGCATATTGAGATGTTTTATAATAAATTAATATATATATTGTATTCTATTTACTGTCACTTATCTACGTTGATGAAAGAGACTTACCAGATGAATTAAAAATTAAAATAAATCGAATTCTCAATTAATATTATTATACAATAATATATATATATTGATAAAGGTTAGATTCATTTATTTTTATTGAAATCATAAATATTGCACCTTGTTTAATCATAAGAAAATTAAAGCCATGTTTGAACAAAACTTTAAATTTTAGACTTCATGTGTAGTCTTCGAGCACTAGGTGAAAATAAATAAACAATTATTATGATAAATCACAGGGTTTTTTTTAAATAGTTTGAGAATATACTTTCCTAAACGGCCATAACCATTTTTTCTCCAAAAATAAGATATCGTTTTCTCAAAAAAATAATTAAAAAATAAATCTTGGCCAATTTCCTTCAATAAGGAACTATGAATAAAATTAAGTTATGTTTATGTTTAATACAAATTAAATAATTGGCAAAAATGTATTTAAATATATTTTTATATATTTAATTTTTATTTTAAAAAAAGTGGAGGAAATTAATGTCCAACTTTTTTCTTTTTTTGAGAATAATGGAAAGTGGAAGAAAACAGTATCTCATTTTTGAAGAAAAAGGAACCCACCCCCTAAAACACGATGTACAGGTACTTATAAGTCCATAGTACATTAAAATCAAGAAAAATAATTTAAAAATTCAACTCAAAAACAAATTGAGAATCAATTTCAATCTTAAAACCATTTAATAAAGTAGTTAATTCATTAACTTTAAAAATAGAAAAGATCCTTTACTTAGTAAATTATTATGAAATTATTAATTTATTAATTTTCCAGTAAGCAAAATAATTATTTTTTTAATATAATTAATATTATACAAGTTATAACTTATATTTTTTGAATAGGGTAGTAATCGCTTATGTATATTATTTATGACGCATAAAATTAATATATTTTAATTTAATCTACGTCAGGACTTAGGAGTAGTTAATATTTGAAATAAAAAAACATAATTATCCAGTGGTCGAGAAAGATTTAAAACCTACCCTTCTTTTATAAATGTATTTATTAAATTGTTCATTGTTAACGTGGGTTCCATAACACTAAACAAATAGCGGCTTATGTGTAACTTAACTTATAAATGCTTACGTAATTCTACCAACTATTACTTTAATAATATAATTATTTATAATCATATATAACAAATTTTATAACCTTATAAGTTACTTCATCAGACTACTTCCGACACTTCTATCGTATACTATAGTACAATACTGCAGCCTCTCGTAAAGAAAAATGTATTTAAATTTTTTAAAAACTTGAATTTTATTTTTGTACATTTTTTATATAAATCCTATATAACTTGTCAGAGTATGATACTTCCTTTTTTTTATAATAAGTACTTTTAATACATTTTTATAAAATTTTACATCATAAATTCAGTAAAAATAAAATAAAATACATATTTAAATAAAGTAACTTATTCAATTGATATTAATGTTACTTGATACAAAAACTGTATGAAGTACTCGTATACCTAATTTATAATCAAATCCAAATAATACACAACAATGATAGAATATTAATATAACATATACACAACCTACTTATCGATTTAACATGGATAGATTTATCCCAATATACTAACATTGAAACTACCTTCATAAATCCTAACGTATTTTACCGTCACTAATGTACACCTACAAGTACACCTGACAAACAAAAATAATAAAATAAAAATTGATACATTTTGATCATTTGAATAATAATTACCATATTTGGCTAGTTAAATTAATGGTTCATTCAGAACTCGTAATGTTCTAAGCGAATTTGATATTAGGTAAAAATACATATATACATAAAGTATGTAGGTAATTGTAATAATTCTTTCGAATTGAATAACTTTGATAATTGAAAACACCAGAAGTATACCTGGAAGTTTTTAGGATTGTACATCCTAAAATAAAATATTTTATACCACACCATAAACTAACAATAGAAAGACAATACTTGCAAACTAAACTAATTAAACAAAATAGTCTGAAATTCTGTTATGAAACAAAAATGCATGATATCAATAGAAAAAAACAGTACTTACATAACATATATTTCCAAAGACAAAATTTGTTCAATGTACATGATAATTACGTAAATAAAAACAATAAAATAAGACATTTCCATTCAGAACATTGTTAATTACAGATTTCAATATCCAACGACATCCAATCGAAAAATATAAAAACGTTTTACAGCTGTTTGCCACTATATCGAAGTCAAGGAAAAAAATTAAGTATTTTTTCGTATAGGTTATTTGAAATACACTGTTGAGATTAGATACTATAATTTGTAGCCAAAAAATAATAAATTTCAAGTGCATAAAGCTGCGTCCACACTAACGTAACAAAACGACGAACTGTTCGTCAAACTATTTGAGAAACTGTTGGCCGAATATCTAAAAAATATGTATGTTCGCGTATAGCTAACCAATAAATTAACTTATATAACTAAAATAACTTTTCTGAATAACTTTATAGTAGTTCAATCTATCGCTGAGTATAGACGCTTGTCATGTCACTTCGAATTGCTGCTGCAGCTTATGTTTATATTCATCTCACACTAGAAAAAAAGAATAGAAGACAAACCCGACTTTTTACTCGTCAATCAAAATTTGGAGGAAATTCGTTATTAAACGATTTAAGAACGCAAGAAATTAATGGACAGTTTCAATCGATTGGATTCATTTGATCTTATGTTCACATAATTTTTTCTGTATATTATTTATTAAATTATCAAAATTTACCTGAGCCCGTTCCTTTACTATTTTTAATTTTTGTCTTTTCTCGTCTGAATGCAGCTAGTAATGACGTCATTTTTTTCTTACTCATCCACTGAGATATTGGTTGAAATTTATTGTGATAGTTCAACATCATTACATGAGTCATTTTTTAAGATCTTATTAAAATGGTTTTTTATTTAATGGGTTCCATATAATTTCATTATTCCTATAGATTTCAATAAACTTAAGGGTATTTTCACTAGTCCAATACGTCATAATTAAAAAAAGTACGAGTTGAAAAGGTAATACTTATTATTAAATATTTTAATTATTGTAATTAAATATTATGAACGTGAAAACTTGACTATGCTGCAAGGACTGTAGGCAGTTAATTAAACTTAAAAACTGATTATAAATAATAATAGTTCAATTTTGTGTGTTCGTGAAAATGTCCTAAGACGTGTCCATACCTGTCATAAAATGTTCGCGTAACATACTTTGATGTTATGTTGAAATACCGACAACTGACGGATTGTCAATTAGTTCAATAGAATGTTACAAGTTCGCCCATTTGTTACACACGAATTCTGTTCGCGAACACATATTCGTCGTTTTGTTATGTGTACGCGGTTTTACACGTAAGATATAAAACTGTTGTCTCATAAGATAAAAAAAAGGTGCAACTCGGTAATGAATTGTACACATAGGTACGCACAGACCTGTATTTTAAAGTGTGCCTACTATACTTTTGGGCCTTTTCTTAAGAAAACGTGTAAGTATATTTAATAAACTATAATGTATAAATAATGAAATAAACATAACTCACTTTTTTTCTTTAATATAAAAAAGAACACCCTTGCAAGGAAATTAGTACAAAATAAAACTATGATATCCAGTCTTGTTTGTGTAGCGTGTAAGTATAACATATAAAGTAATAATTTGATGGTTGAAAATATTATTAGTCACCATAGTTCTCACTTTCCAGAGCAAGAACCACACAGAGGAAAACCAGACACCAAAAAGAAAATCTTCTATATCTAACATGGAACATAGTCATCTAAAATAACTGGCAAAGTATAAATGCCAAATTTCTAACATTTCCAATAAAAAAAAAAAAAAGTTCAGTTAAAATCTGAAATTGTATATACACTTAAGCTATTGTTTAAATAATATTTATTTTATTTAAACTATTACATTGTAATTTAACAAAACATACACATGAGCAAAAAAAAAGTAGAAACTTCTTATAATGCAACCACCATAACATAATTTTAAAGTACTTTTTATCAGTAAATTGTAATTTATATATTTATAATGATTATAATAAATCCAAATTATTAATTATCAGGAAAATTTTACACTGTTCAATTTCTAATCAAAATTAAACTTATTAATTTTTATTTATTTAATTTTAATTTGATAAAAAAAAGTATCCGTCATTAAAAAAAAAAAAAAAAATATATATGAAAACATTTTTAATTTTTACTAAATTATTTGATTAATTAATGAAAAATATAAAAAATAATTCATTTTAAATTAATAATATAAGAATAAATAGATATTAATCTTTTAAACTTAAAGTTAATAATCAAATTGATTTTAAAAACCTAAGCAAATATGAATTCTGGAAAATCCATAATAGGCAGTGTTGGAAAGTAATATTCTTGATCATTTCCTATAGTAAAAAATTGTTTTGTTAATCACAACAATAAAAAAAAATTATTAAACTATACATTAGGGGTAGCCAACAGGTCAATTTTAACATGAGTTAATCACGATTCCTTCAACTTTTTTTTCAAATTCTTTCAGAAAACCATTGAAATATTTATTATTTTTTGGTAAATTTTCATATCTCTGTCTAACCGGCAAATATAAAAAAAAATAATAACAATTAATAAAGAATATATATGGAAATAAATAACTATGATAAACAAAATTATATCCTGAGATCAAATAGCTATGTAGATATGTTATACATATTTTAATGTATATTCAGTAAGAATAATGGTATTTATTGCACTGTGTAATTGATAAAATATAAATAAAAATTCATGTTAAGTAAAATTGTAAAATTAAAATTATTATTAATTACTTAATGAAATTTTAAATAGAATAAATAAAGGAAGTATGTATACAAAATATATTTTAACTCAGTTAATTTTTTTCTTTTTTTTAGTCTGATAACCTAGAAAAACTCACAAATTTATGAAAGTTGGCCTAACCCTGCTATATATAACCAATATATGAACTTTATACTTACCAAAATTGTCAAATGTATTATTTATTTCATTAATCATTATATTATTATAATCTTCAAGAAACCAATCATTTTCCACATCATTCTTTGTACTAAAAAAGTCGCTTAGCATGTCAATATTACAAGTCATATTATCAGGTAAAGAATCTGTAAAATGTAAAAAAATTTAATAAAAATAATGTTACACAGGACATATTTGTAATACATTGGTAAGGTCATAAAATCACTTTCACATCCCTTTTTATTATGTAATTGTTACAAAACATATGTAACACAAATATTTGATTTCTAAACTTACCTTTCTCAAATGTTGTGCACTCAAAATGATTTACCTCTTCATTATAGGAATTATCTTTAAGGACAGATTTACACTTATCACCTGTTTCAAAATTTATCATAGGCAACACTTTCAATTGTTTCAAACCATTACTGCCAGACTTTTTGGTTGACTGTACCGTATTTGTCAATACTTTCAATGCATTTTTTTTGCGGCTCGTAATCAAAGTATTTTCTATTAACATTGAATGAAAAAAATTAGTAAATGTATTATGTAAAAAATAATCTAATAAGTATTTTTCAAATTATTATCATATAACTTACTAATATTTTTCGTAGGATTCTCGTTATTTGTAGAAGTCAAAGCAAGACCACGACGAGCATATGAAGACATCTTAAATATTCTGAAGGTATAAATCAACCGATAAACGAAAAATAAAATTTTTATTATAACGAATAGTGAACGTTTTCAAATTTTAACTTTGAGTTTTAAAACTTGAATTACGGATACAAATAAAGATGATCGGCCAAGTTATAAAAATAATTGGTTTTACCTCTTATCGATGATTAACGACTATAATTCGATAGCAACTAAAATATAATATAATTGACAGGAAATCCAAGAATGTTATTCTTATTTTGTTATTTGAATTTTTAACGGATTTTGATCTGTGATTGTATTAAATTAATAATGCAGTTATCAAACCTTCGTTACAGTGTGGTCAACAATTAAAATTGTATAATAATTCGCAAAGTATATGAAATTATGTGATCTCTTTATGGTTATCAGTTTTCACTAAATTTCATCAACTATAATCCAAATATTATAAATGTATATAATGTACTTCCAATTTAAAGTATTGAAATTGTAATAATTACTATACTTACCTTTATATTTACTTTTAGTGGGTATCACTATTTTTGTATGTAACAATTTACAACGATCAATATCACATAACGAACAATTGTTTATTACGTTTGTTTGAGTGTGTAAAAAAAATGGAAGATTTCAATATGAAATATGAGGTAATTTGTATAACTGAAATTCATACCGAGCTATTTTTAGGGAATTATTATTTACATTTTTGTGATTTAATTACTTAAATTTAAATAGCATTGATTATAATAATTACTTGACATGTTGCTAAAGTAAAACTGAAATTAATGATTTAGTAAAATAGAATAATGTTATTAACAAAGGTTAATATTTTATTATTAATCAATTAATTTTAAGAATAACTTAAGAATCTAAAATAAATTATTTTATCAAGGTCCCTGGTGGTATTACCTCAATCATGCCAAGCATTCCTGCAGACTTGTTAAGCTATATAAATTGTATAGAAAATATGCCAGTATATAAAGGTGAATCTGTATTGCCGACTAGAGATATTAATTTGATGTCATTACTCTCTGATACTAATATAAACATACTGCCAACTGAGTTGATTGTAAGTTATGTTCTATCTTATTTACTTATTATTAAATAGTATTTAATTTATAGCCTAAAAGAAATCCTAGAACGGGTAAAATTATATGTTATGAAGAAGTTATAAATGAAACAATTACTCAACCTGATGATCCATCACCTTGTTCAAAATCAATAAATAATCATAGTATAATCACCCGATTTAAAGACAATACATTTGAATTTGATCCTAGTATGTATCTTAATGATAATATTTATTATATTTGATAAATAATATATACAATAATATTATTATATTATCATTATAATTATTTATTTTAATTTGTTTTAGATAATTTACCAACAGCCCCCGGATTGTCTAACAAATTACAAATAAATCCAAATAATGACTATTCAACTTCAAACATATTTCCTACTAATACACCATTAGAAGATGAATGGGCTGAAGATATAGGAGGCTTTTGGGATGATGAAGTGCCAGAAATCGTTGAACTACCTAAAACTAATCCAGAACCAGTTTCAATAGAAGAAATTAAGCATATTAAAGTAACAATTAATAATTAGTAATTAATTATAATTTATCTTAAATTGTATGCCTTTTTTTGTTTTGCTAGAAAGAAGAAAACTTTGTACTTAAAATATCGGGTAATATAGAAAGAGCTCTTGTAAAATCTAAATGGGTCGAAGAATTAGATATTTCCAAACCTATTGATAACTTTGATGAGTTATTACCTGATCCAGCTTATAAATGGGAATTTGAATTAGATACATTTCAGAAACAAGTAAATATTTGTTGTTTATACTTAGAAAATTGTAAATAACATAACTTCCTTATGTAGGCAGTACTTAAATTAGAAGAAAAGTGTAGTGTATTTGTAGCAGCTCATACTTCAGCGGGTAAAACTGTAATTGCTGAATATGCTATAGCACTTGCTAAAAAACACCAATTAAGGTAAATCATTTATATTTTCATTGTTAATATATTTATTAATTTTTTCTCTTTTATACATAACATATCTTTACATTTTAGATTCTGAGAAAAATGAAGAATACATTTGTTTTACAATGATGTATCTATTTTTTTTATACTTAAGCTATAACCATATATTTGGGTGGTAATTCTGTAGCAATATTTGTATGCAGTACCAATTTTTTTATTTCAGAAGCATATGATACTTTGTAGAAGTAATTTTTAAACTCAGTAATTTTTCTAACTGGAAAACCTTGAAATGTAAAATGTCTTACCATCATTTTTTTTTACTATTAATAAAATTAGTAATTTTGTTTTGTATTTTTTGAAAATTATATTCAAGGCTAAGCTATGGTTTAAGGAAAAGAAAACAGTTTTTCTAGTACAGTTTTACAGTTATTGAAATTACAGAAAGTTTGATTTTGCTAATTTTTTTCATTAACAATTTAAATTACTATATTTATATTTATTCTTACAAATGCTCATAAATAGTAATATCCGTTTATTTGTATCTTAATGTATGGCAATTTTTTATGTATTTTTTGAAATTACAATTATCGGTGACTTGGTTACTATATATATATATATATATATATATATATATTACACAATTCTTTAGTCAGAATTATTTTTGAATATTCAATAAAACCTTAATAACTTGAATCAGTTATAAATAAAAATAATTCGAGTTATAAAAAAATATTTATCTTATACTCAAATTTTGCAATCAATTCCATCCAGTTACCAAAAATTTGACATTGACTTTGGAATTATTGAAATTTCATTGTTTTATTTTATTATTGCTTGTATAAATTATATAACTGAAGAATACTACTAGATTTAAGAACTATACTAGGAATCAGTATCTTAATGGCATGTTTATTACATGATGTATTTTATAAAATATAATTTTTCTATAGTACAGTGGTTTCCCAACTGTGAGATGCTCTTCCCTAAGGTGGTACAAGCACTTATTGGGGAAGGTGAAAAGCAAAATTTATATTGTATATTACACTATTAGATATTTATTTTTAGATTAGCAGTAATTTGCTTTTATTAAAATAGTTAAATAAATTTGTTTTTATTTATTCATTGAAGGCGCAATTAAATATTTTTTGTTATGAGGATGCGTGAATCAAAAAAGTTTGGGAACTGCTGCTATAGTATTATATATAATTTAGAACTACAACAAATATATACAAAATTAGCTTTTTTTTTTTACTATTAATATAGATGCATATATACATCTCCAATTAAAGCTTTGTCAAATCAAAAATTTCGAGATTTTAAAAAAAAATTTGGAGATGTAGGCCTTATTACCGGAGACTTTCAAGTAAAACCAGAAGCTCAATGTCTTATTGTTACTACTGAAATACTATGTTCAATGCTGTACAGTAATTCAGATAAAATTAAAGAAACTGAATTTGTTATTCTTGATGAAGTTCATTATGTAAATGATAGAGATGTAAGTATTCTGGTTTAATTAATTGGTTAATATATTTATTATTAAATAATAAATGACTCACTTATACTAATTCTTTATTAATATTTTAATGAATAATATATATTTTATTTATAGAGAGGTCACATTTGGGAACAAATTTTAATTATGCTTCCTAAACGTATTAAATTAGTTATGTTGAGTGCTACTGTCACAAATGTTATTGATTTTGCAAACTGGATTGGTCGTACTCGTAATTCTAAAATTTATGTAGTTTTTACACTTTATAGACCAGTTCCTCTTGAACATTATATTTATGTTGGTTCAAACACATCTTTAGAAGTGAAAGATAATATGCATCTAATTAGAAAAGCAGATAGTGGATTTCTTATGCAAGGGTATATATATTATTATTAATTTTTAAGAACTTCTAAGATATTAAAATACTTTTTAAGATATCGAAAAGCATCAGATTCATTTAAAAAAAATCAAGAAATAAAGAAAACTCAAGATTTCAAAAAAGACCAGAAATCAAAATGGATCGGTTTTCTAAGATTTCTTGATAAAAATAGTTTATTTCCAGCAGTTGTCTTTATTTTATCTAGAAAGAAATGTGATTTAATGGCTGAAACTTTGAAGAATTCAGTTAATTTTTTACTAAATAACAAAGAATCACAAGCTAATGAATATTTTTTTAACCATGCTATAAAAAAGTTAAAACCTGAAGATAGAGCATTACCTCAAGTATATTACTTTTTGGTTTGAATTTTTCTCTTTAGATAAATGTACTAATTAATATTATAAAATTTAATTAAGGTGGTTTTGATGAAAGAATTATTGTGTCAAGGTATTGCCGTTCACCACAGTGGTATTTTACCAATATTAAAAGAAATTGTAGAAATGCAATTTCAAAAGAGTTTAGTTAAAGTAAGTATAAACTTAAAAATTATGAAACTTTTATTTTAATTATGTATTAAATTGCTTTACAGTGTCTATTTGCTACAGAAACATTTGCTATAGGTATTAATATGCCAGCCCGAACAGTGGTATTTGATGCTATTAACAAATTTGATGGAGTAGAAAAACGAAATTTAGCACCAGCTGAGTACACTCAAATGGCAGGACGTGCAGGTCGTCGTGGTCATGACCCAAGTGGAACAGTTATAATCATGGCCAATAACCAATTACCCAATGATAGAGAATTAACAAATATGATGCTTGGTTAATTAAAAATCTAAATAATTATTTTTTTATTTTATCTTTTAACTTTAAAATATATTTCAGGAAAATCAGCTAAATTGGAATCCCAGTTCAAAGTCAGTTATTCTATTATATTGAATATGTTTAAAAAAAATAATTCTGAAACCCTAGAAGAAATTTTAGGGAGTAGTTTTATTGAAGCTGCTAGAGCTAAAAAGAAAGATGAATACGTTGAAGAATTAAATTCTTTAAAATTATTAGATGAAAAAGATAATTGGCAACCAACTGGACAGCAAGAATTAATAGTTAAAGAATTTTACCTTGCTGCTAAAGAATATCTAGACTGCAGAAATGAAGATTGGGTAAATTAAATTGCTTAATATGATACTTACTGCATGAGTTGAGAACAGACTGGCATGGGAACTTAAATCATGTGTATAATAGAGAAGTGTGGAAGAATTTAGTATTAGCAGCAAATGGTCTATAATGCCAAAAAAAAAAAAATTATTTAACATTTATTTAATAACTTAAAACCTTACAGCATTACTTTCATATTACAACATTCACTTAAATGAACATTAAAATTGTTAAGCTCAATTCTTTATTTTTGAATCAATATTAAAATATATTTTACTTATGTAAAAAAAAAAAAAAATTGTGCATAGATAATATCGATAATAAAACCATTATAATTGTTGTTGTAAAATATAAATTATCATTACTACTAATTATTGCTTTGAATAATACTAATACTAATACATAAATTATACTAACTTCTGTATACACGTTTTTGTATAATTATTTAAAGATTTTTAAAAAAATGTTATAATTATGTTATTTTTAGGATAAACTTTATAATGCAAGTGATAAAAGTTTCAGTGAAACCGGTCGATTTGTCATTATTACTCATCAACATTATGTTAATAGATTAGCAATTATATTATCTAGTAATGCAAAGAAAGTTCCAAAAGAATTTAGGTATAGGATTGTAGAATTCAATATTATTGATTTTATAGAACTACATTTTTTTTTTTCAGAGTACTGGTATTAGACAATGAACATGTAAAAAGTGAATTATCAGACAAAAAAAAAGATTCTTGGTATAAATTTATTTATTTATCTCAAAAAAGAAGATTAATGGATAAATCATTAGATGTTATTTCCAATAATGCACATACTATTTTAACAATACCATCAAATTCAATTATGGCAATCACTAGATTTTCTGGTAATTTTGATATTGATTCAATTATTAAAAATTGGGAAATGAGACAAAATGAACGCTTTAAGTAAGTTAAATTTATTATTTGTTTATATTTATATTAAATTTACAGAGTGATTATTTATTGTTGAGAAATTAAAAGTTAATTTAAATAAATTATTTAGGGATGCACCTATTTCAGCTCACTGCCAACGAGCTATAACAATGCTATCAGAAAAAACATTATTATTAAATCGATCAGAAGTGAATGAACCAGTATTGAGTTTGTTAGAGTTACGAATTGATCATTTTGAATTACACAGAATTATGTTACACATGCATTCATTGGAAAATCAAGTATATAATATAGATTTATCGGACATAATTGCTTTTGAAGAAGTTGTAAGCATATTTTTCTACTAAACTTATATTTTATTTATCTAATAATGTTAGTTAATTATTTATTGATAATTTAAAGCTGAATTAAAGGTTAAAATATTAATATTAGTTTAAGTTACCATTAATCAATTTGTTTCATAGCTTTCATCCAATGTATTTAACAACACCATTATATACTTGACTATTAAACTTACTAAAGAACTTAGAAACCATCTCATAATTTTTGTTTTGTGCGTTTTGTAGTTTTCAACATTATATGAACATCAAACAAGAAAAGAAAGAATTACAGAATTAGAACATCAAATTTCAAATAAAGCGTTACAATTGTATAATGAATACATCAATAAAGTAGAAGTTCTCAAAGAATTAAAATATATAAACCCAAGAAATGAAATAAGTTAGTTAAAATGATATCAATAAAAGGCTAAATGCTTTAATTATTTATATTACAGCTACCCAAAAAGGAAATGTAGCTGCTACTATGGGATCACATGAGCTATTAATCACTGAATTATTATTGTGTAATATGTTTGAAGAATTAAAACCAGAAGAAATTGCTGCCGTTCTTTCATGTTTAGTATGTGAATCAAAGTCTGATTTTAATTGGGAATGTATTAAGGAAGAAAATTTGTTGAAAGTATATGAATGGATTAAAAAATATTTTTTAATATTAATGTGTAACATTTTGAACCATATTTTAAAACAATTTAATTTTAGGGTATTCACATAATTAAACAAAAACATGATTACATTCAACATGTTGAATCCAACTATTTAAGCAATTATGAACGTATCGATCTCAACTTCAACTTAGTTAAAGTACTTTATCTATGGGCTCAAGAGAAGGTATTTATAATATTTTTACTAATACTAGTAACTGTGCTCAATTTAATGCAATGAAAGAGCACATAATGTGCTCATTATTTTCTGTTTATACATTTTTATGAATTTGGATAATGTTAATTATTTATTCGTTTATTTTATTTATCATTTATTCATCATTTTTTTTTTTAATATAATAAAACCTTCCGAGTTATATTATTGTACATTCTTACAAATGCTAAACAATAGAAATTAAAATCTATCATTATGTATTTTATTTATTCATCAATATGTATCACTAATAACTTGTTTGATTTATATTTAGCCGTTTTCTGAAATAATGGAAGTAACCGACATTCAAGAAGGAATTATAGTCCGATGCATAGTTCAGTTAAATGAAATTTTGACTGTCATTAAAAATGCTGCCAAAACGATTGGCACTAATAAGATAAGTGAAAAGATGCAAGAAGTTCTTGACAAAATAAAAAGAGATATAGTATTTACTCCATCTTTATACATGGAATAAGTTTTTGTAAACAAAAATAATAAGTTAATATAATATAATTTCTATTGACATTGAATTAAATTTATTTAGTGTTAGATTAATATAGTAAAGTTACAATACTGTATTTGGGAGTTAAGCAATGTGAAAACAGTTCAGCCCCATATTGTTGCGGACATACATACATGTAGGTTCTTACGACTCATAATACATGGATGGGACCACGTAGATTAAAAATAATAGAAATCGGGAAATAATTATTATTAATATAATATTCGTATTCATATAAAGAGAAAGGAATGATTAAGAACCAAGGGTAACACGAATATGAGCTGTCAAGACTACATTTCAAAGAATTATAAAAAAAAGCAATTAATAAAAGCGCATAACAAAATATGAGAGATGTTCGAATAGTAATATTACCGAGGTCAACCATTTTAATTACAATTTAACATCTTCAGGTAGTAACAGTAATTGGAAATAATGTATTACATAGAAATGCGCGGTCAATTCCCATGAGACCTAAGTATATAAGGGGGTTGGGAACAGACCAATATTCAGATGTGGTTTACTGGTATAAGCGCAAGCACCTTCACGCCAGATCATTTCTTAAATTAATGTTTTGTACTTACAAAAAATTCTTAAATAAACAGTTTAATTATATTTGAGTATTTTTATTTGGAGTATTATCCTAAAAAACTTAACCATCGTTACGATTGAACGACGGCACGCAACAATATAGTGATTTACTATAAAAAATTAAAAAAGTTACAATACTGTATTCCACTGATAATAAATACAAGTAGTAAAAGTAAATACAAACATTAAGATTAAATTCTAAAATCCATTATATAAAATTACATTGGTGTAAAAAAAATGCATCATCAATTAATGACAGCAGTGCCGTTCCTATCCAAAGGCGTGTTTAGAATTAATGTAAAGGTATGTTTACACTCATGCACTTTCCACTTCAATTTTCAATTCAACTTACGTTTCAACATTCATTTTTGCTTTCATCTTACGCATGTCTTTATTGAATGCAATAGATGCATGCTTCTTATTGTTCACACTAACAACGTCACAAAGCAGTCGTCTTCCAGTTTGTTATCAATAAGCATGTCGAACTCGCATATATTTCTTGGTGTTAGGGCGGCCTACTTAATTATTGCGAGTGTAAGAAAAAAACGTAGGAAAAAACGTTCTTTGTGGATTAAAAATTATTTAAAAACTCAGCATTTAGAAATCATAGATGGTTTGCAACTAGCCAAAGATATTTTATTTAAAAACTACTCGAATGCTCATAGCAGTGGCGTATCCAGAATTTTTTTTTGGTGGGGGTTATAAAAAATGGAACATTAAATTTTTTTTGAATTTTGTTTGTTTTTATTATAATCAATAAACAATATACATACACTAAACATTTTCGGGGGGGTTATAACCCCCTAACCCCCCTGGATACGCCACTGATTACAACTACCAATGTGTGGTATACGAAAAAAAATATACATCGAGGTTGTACGTAGCTCAATTTTGCCGAACTTACCTCAAACGAGAAATGAAGCTTTGAATGTTTTGGGTGAGATAGATATTATTTACGAAAATGAATAAACATTATTTATGTGGAACCGTTTAGTGAAGTTTACAAATGATTAAAATGTATTTATTTTTTTTTTAGTTTTATTTTTTAATTTAAGTAAGTCACTAGTTACTAGAAATTAATGTTATTTTATCGTTATGTTTTAAGAATTAAGAATCTGACAACAACAAAGCTTAAAAAAATGTATTTTAAATATTTTTTGAATTATATGTATTGAATATTTGTATTTAAATAAAAATTTTAATACTTTTTAATTTAAATATTTAAATACCTATTTGAAATAATTTAATTGTAATTCTATACGGGAGGCAACTAGTGTGAAAAATCTTGGGAGGCAACTCGTACATAAACATGAACTACCTGGTCATCGGAGGCAACCAGGGTAAATTAACATTTTTGTTTATGATAAGGACGGGAGGCAATTCGTATATTTTCGGAGGCAACTAGTATACTCCGTTTCGGCTACGGTCAAGCGCGTGTTCCGCGGGCACGAGTTATGTTACTCAGAATAATAATATAATACACGCAGAATACATTGCGACCGGGGCCGACTTAAGCTCATTTAGCGCTCGTTTCAAGAATTATTTTGGTTCCACCTTAAACGACTTAAACGTATGACTTAAAAGTGCAGAATGTAGGGATCAACTTTCAAACGTGCATATTTGCAACACACATTTGTAAATCATCCATAAAACAAACATATAATAATACTCACTACTCGGTTATAAATGTATTGCGCACAGGTAGTACCAATGAAAACTGGAATATACTCTCTGGAATTACTCTCGTAAACGTAAAATCAATTTAGATTAAAAATTAACACGAGTATATAATTAAAATAGATCTTTGCTAAAAATCATCCGTAATGGGAAAGGGTGTTTTTGACTTAAGCGCGCCGAGCACACCACCATCATGCGTACACGGCTCTGGGCGTTTAAGTTCGATCTTCACCTTTGTATTAAGCCTAATCAATCGAACTTACCCGAAAATCATCATCATCTGCACGGGCAAAACATTCGATCGCACCGCGACGCGTTCGTTAACGTTAACCGACGTTTTCGTCGATAGTGGTCGCGGCAGCTTTAGGTTCGACCGGCGCCGTTAAAACTTTCCGCTGGAGCATTGCGTTCTCTGTTCAGGATATCGCGAACGAATGGACAACAAGAAAAACCAAAAAATAGTTAGCAATAACGAAATAACGTGTTACACGTGTCCCGTGAGGCTGTCGTAGGTGTCCATCGACACTATCGACGTCGCTTAACTAAGCTTAACTAATCTAACCAAGCGAGGGATTGATGTTCAACGTGATACAGCTTGGAGTTGTCATCGTCCGGGTTGCGGCAGAGGGTAGAGAGTGGGTCCGTGATAGTGGTGCACGTCATGCACCTCAACTACCGCGGGACCGTGTCAGGTGTGGAAGTCGCACGAGAAAATATGTCCATTCCGAGACGAAAAAGAAATATTTGTCGATACCGGTAACATCAAGTTCGGAACGATGATTTTCAATTCCATACGGCGCGCGTCAAAATTACGTTCGTTCGAAAAATTAACACTCGACTGTTTCACAAAAAGACTAAATGGAACAACTAATGTTTTTATTTTTACATTGATATGTCCGAAAATCCAAATAAGAACACAAATACATCGGGAATACGGTAGAAGTTATAGTGTGTTAAATAAAAATGTATATCGTGGCTCTAATAAAAACACGACTTGTTACAAATATTGACATAGATATTAAACAAAGATTGTTGATCTTTCCGTATAGAAGTTCGTCTAATATTTTATTAGTGAAATAATTTTGTTTGCACCTATGTATTGCAGATTTATCATATTTACTAAATATTATATAATTAGTAAGCGTAGGCTTGTTCGTAGTATTTGAGTGAGTTTTGAACAAATATTACTAGAAGTAATAGCATAAATGGCAAATGTAAGAAAACAAAGCAGCATGTCAGAAATATCGACAGTTCAAAAGCAGATATCTACAATAATCGGAGGATGGTTCAATTGGATAAGATGGAATGGACACATTGATGACGTCAAAAGTCAGGGGGATATGGCAAACGCTTCCACAAGGGAAACGCAAAAGTCCCAAGAAGTGTGCTCTTTGACGGACAAAGATGAACTGCTGTCCAACGAGATAGTAAAAATTCATTCAGGTTTGTAAAAACATGATAAACTATTATAATATAATGAAACAAAAAAGGAAAAACAACAAATGATACAATATGAAACAATGTTTACATAATTAGAAACCCAAGAAGAAACCCAAAAAGTGGGCTCTTTGATGAACAAAGATAAACTGTTGTCCAACGAGATGGTAAAAATTCACCCAGGTTTGTAAAAATATGATAAACTATTATAATATAATGGAACAAAAAAGAAAAAACAACAAATGATACAATATGAAACAATGTTTACACGTTTAGAAACCAAAAACAAAGGAAACCAGACCGATGACGTAATCGCAACGGCAAATCGTGAGTTAGAAAAGGCGAAGAAAGGTAGGCAATTATTATGTTATCATATTGTAAAAATTCGGTATAATGAACGGTTAATGATAATAACTATCGCTGGGTCTTAGTTATAACCGAGTTCAAGCATGACAATTACATCTTGGTCAATGAATTATCATTTATGAGAGAAAAATGTAATATAATGGAGCGGAAAATTGAATTGATTCAAGGCAAACAAAACTATTAAATGAAAATAAATTTAATAATTGTGATACTTTTTAAAATATATTTTGTTTACAAATATAGATGCACACATAATGGCGACACAAAAAAAACAGGCGAAACATGACCAGGTTGTCAAAGAATTAAATGTTGAAATACAAAAAATGAAAAAAAATTCGACCAACTGCAAGTGTCGTAATTTATTTGAACCGTAACATATATGAACATAATTAAACATTTACTCTCATTGAATTTTAGGTGATGACTCGAAGAAAAAAGATAATATTTTTATAGAAAAAGAGTTATGGATGCTGAGAGATAATAACAGCAGAATGGAAAATAACTTGAAAATGATTAACGGTATGTGATTATTTATACATCACGGTGTGTCGATAAATAATTACGTAGACATTCATTTTTTTATACGCATACGGTGTTGGCTCAAAATTTAAATGTAACAGTAAAAATATTATTATTTTGCACGGCAGATGTTTCGACAGCACAAAAATTATCATTTATTTTAGACAATTTTAATTATGAGTTCCGTTACGTTCAAATACTTAATTGATGTTAAATTTTACTTTTAGTTGAATTAGAAGCCAAATACAAGAAAATTAATAACCAAATGAAAAATCTTGTAAATACTGTTGACTCGTTAGGTTCAGAAAAAAAATTTTTAATTCAGACGATTACAACGATGGCTAAAGAAATCAAGAGTATTTTTTTTTAAATTAATTATTGTATTTGGAATTTTTTTCATCAAAGGTTAAACATACATAATTTGTTCTTAGATAATAAACATTATGCAAACAAAAAAGATTGCAATAGGTTTAAGGATCAAATGAAGAAGGATTTGGACAATCGTAAAAAACATTCATATACTTTAAAAAGTAATATAATGTTTATATTTCTATAATTACTTTCTGAAACATAAATATATTTAACACGTATACATTTATTATTAAGATACAACTGCTAAAGTTGTAAATTATGAGAACATCGACAACGTTATTCATCCTAAATATGAGAAGTTAAAAACTCGACTATCCGAGCTGGAAAGTAAGTGGTCGATCTCCTTAAACATTTTTAATGGATATTTGTTATAATTATTTTATAAATATGTTTTAGAAGCAAAAGTGACAAACCGAAATTTCATAAATCAGATCAATGCCGAACAAATGCGGCAAAATGTTATGATTATGTCAGGAACATATTTAAGAGGTGGAGTGATGAACGATTCAATAGAAAACATTCAACACGCAGCGAAAAGTCAACAAGCTTATCCTATTCATTCAGCGCCACCGAGAGAACCAGAACCGACATTTCTAAAAATACCTCCACCTCCTCCACCACCATTTAAGCCTCTGCAAGCAAAATGTGAACTGCCTAGTCAATTTCCAAAATATGTAATCAATACAGAATTGTTGAAGTCTATGGCTAAACAATTAAGGAAACCTGATGGTGATAATATAAGGAAAATTCCAAGGCGAAAGGATATGATAATTCCTACAAAAGTCACACAAACTGCTGAAGAAGATGCTTCTATATAACCACCAGCTCTTTCGTTGACAGTTATGATTTCAAAGCTACCTGTATTTTGTTCAGAATAACTAACGCTTTTGGTAGCATAACAGAACCGGAATCACCTTAAAAGTCTAGCTTAAGAGTTTAGCACAATCAGAAATTTCATTATAATTAGTAAAGTCTGCGTCACTTTTTTTTTTTTTTTTGATGATGTTCATCCGGTACTTAAAACGCACCAATTATCAATATTATCTCCATTCATAGATCAGCTCACTAAATTACACATCCTTCATATATTTGATATCTGTAGACATACTTATATTATAGTTCATAATATATATAAAAAAAAATTTATATATCATCGTAATTGATTAATAATAATCTGTGGTAACCTAGATTTATTTTTCAAAATTAGTATTACTATTTTCCAAAATATGTATTACGTCATCGTATTTAAGAGATGAAGGAGGAAATTAAAACATGTATTTTAATGTATTATGAACTAATCATGTTCTTTACACATTTTGAAACATTTTTAATTCCCTGGTACGTCTACAGGTATCAAATGTATGTTTACTTATTATAAGTGTAATATAGTATGTTGATGTTGAAAAACTGTAATATAATATGATGCGCTAAAAATTAAAACATCAATCACTGACTAATTTGTTTTCTTTTTCCGAACGCAACGGAGTAAAAGCGAATATATCCAATTAACTTTGGCGTACCGCTAAACCACGTACAATTATGCATAAAGTACACAAATACAATCGATAAGGAGACGTCGATTTAACTATTTCCCGAATAAATATTATATTCGACTCGTTCCCAATGGTTCAAAAGTTTGATAAAATCTTTGCAAAGTTGCCAACACATACTACTTACTGTGGCACGTCGGTCTTGACTGCTTTCGAACGGCACCACCTGCTAATCGACATACTGTGATCGTACATCTAGTGTTACACTAAGAACACGTTTTCCAGTGTAACGGTCCGAGGAGGCTCCCACTGTCATATCACCTCATGGTATAATTTAAGAAAAAAAAAGAAATACTAAAGAATAATAATAATGATAACTACGTCAATAACGCAATGTGGACATTTATTGATTTTACGCGGGTAAAATTTACGTTGTGTGCTAAGGGGTAAAGTGCACGTACTTTATATACAAATTCTCGTTTTACGTGTTTTTTTTTTAAATTTTATTTATTATCTAAAACGTAAAAAAAGTCAATAATTTTTGTAAAAACTGCCTCCCAACGTACCCTAAATTTTATCGTAAACGAAAAGGGTCTAGTACTAATTGCCTGTCTTCCAATAGTCAGGTAATAAATATATGAGTGGTTTCAAATATTTTCAAACATCATGTAACAAAATAAGTTTGTAATTTCAAAGTCGTAATTGATGACTTTTGTTATATTTAATATTTGATACGATTATATCTATACGATGAACCATTAAGATCCTATACTCTTTTGTGCAATGATAAGATATAATGCACATTAGATCTAAGCCAGACTATGGTAAATAATATACGTGATTGAGTAACATTCAGTTGATTTTCGACACTCGTTATCGTTGTACGATATTATTTTTACAAACGTTTTTAGAATTGATCAATGTGAAGTGCGGACGCAGGTATTTAGCGAAAAGAAAGAATATATTAAAGCAATTAAAGGTTTTAAATTTAGTTTTCAAAAAAAAGTTAGCCATTAACAAAGAACAGTGGAACTGTGCGACAAAAATGTGTAAGGTTTTTTTAAAAGCAAATAAAAATGACAAATTAATATTTGACGAAAGTAAGTTGAATTATAATAATCAAATACCATTATCTAAACAAGTACCTACTTAATAGGTAAGAAATTAGTAACTCTAGAAAGAAAAGCAGTCACTGAAACATTATTATGTGAAAGGTCTTCGAAGTGATTACATGAAAAATTAAGACACTATAAAATAGATACTATTACAACCAGTGGCGTATCCAGAAATTTTTTTTGGGGGGGGGGGGGTGTTATAAAAAATGGAACATTAAATTTTTTTTGAATTTTGTGTGTTTTTATTATAATCAATAAACAATATACATACACTAAACATTTTCGGGGGGGGGGGGTTATAATCCCCTAACCCCCCCTGGATACGCCACTGGCTCAGAGTACATTTTTACTGAATATTAAATATAATTGAACCAGAAAAAGAAAAACTAAACACTTGTTTTATAGAGGCTATTCCAACTAAAATTATTTTAGAAGTCAAATCAAATAATTAAAGTAAAATAATAAGTGAAATCAATGTAAAAAGCACTGCGTATTGAACGGATTCCCACAGAGCGTGGGAACCTTGCATTGTAGCGTGCATTACAAAAATATAGCTTTTCAACAAGAAAGGGCATGAGGTATTGCAAGCTTTTTTTTTTTAATCCGTGGTGTGCTATGACTCATGTATCTAACGCACGAGAAAGTGCATATGTGTAAACATGCGACAAGACATTGTAGAGGGTGCCCCCGCGAAGCACACATTTTAAAAATTCAATAACTCAGCAAAAAACTCGAAATTTCAAGAAAAAAAGTTTATTGTAACCATAAACATCCCAATTTTTTTCTTCTTCGCCTTTTTCCCAACTATTTGAGGTCAGCTACTCTTATATTAAATCTCCACTTATCTTGATTTCTACATGCCCTACGCACATACCAATGGCCCTCATATCATTCTCAGTCGTACCTAACCTCCTTTTTTGTTTTCCTCTTCCTCTTTTTCCTTCAATCCTTATTTTCGTAACAACTCTTGCTCCATTTATTTCCTCTCGACTCATCACATACCCAAATCATCTCATTCTATTTTCTCTCATGATGTCTACTATAAACGCTACACCAATACTACTTCTCACATATTCGTTCCTTATTTTATCTTTTCTTGTCATTCTATTCTTTCATCTAAGCATTCTCATTTTCACAACACTAATACTCGATTCTATTCTCCTGTCAACCGCCCAACAATATAAACCATATAGCATAGTTGGTCTCATAGTGTAGACTCCTGTAAAATTTACCTTTCGGCCTCATTGGAATTCTCTTATTGCGTAATCTGCCAAACGCTTCTCTCCATTTCATCCAACCACACTTAGTCCTATGTTTTACATCCATGCTAAAACCCCCATCATTTTTGTACAAATAATCCTAAATATTTAAAGTTCTCGACTTCACCTATAGCTAGTTATAAGCAAACCAAGACTATAATAGTCTAGGTCTTGTTCTTGCAGACTTGATCTTGGTCTTACAGAGCCATTATAGTCTTGGTCTTGCTGCAAGACTTGCATTATTTAAAATTAAAAAAAAAAATTATATCCCTATCTAGGCTAGGAGCTTGTAGAATTTGATAATTGTTTATTATCTCCAAATTAACTAAACTAGTATTACATAATTATTTAATCGTTACGGCCAAAGACTGAAGTAAGTGTAAGAGTCACTAATACCACCATGGGCGCAATAGGGTTTTTAGCACCCCTGAGTTCAAATGTAGCACTCCTGTTTTATTTTTTCAAATCTATATAATCTATAGTAACTACAGTTAAATACCATTTTATTTTATTTTCAGTAATTTCAGCACTCCCAATATTTGGGCTCTAATTGCGGGGCGGTCCTGGTTTGCGCACAAAAGTACCACTCGTTTGGACACAGTTAATCTTAAATTTAACAAATTGTTTGCGCACAAAAGTACCTTAAAATAAATAAATATAAGGCACATAATATCTACTATGATAACTTTAAGCTACTTTAAGTAATGTATGTAATAGTAATGTGGCATGTAAGTACATTTTCCTTCCCACTTTACAGACTTAGGACTGTCTATGAAAATATTTGTTCATAGGTGTGGTAAAAAATATACGATTAGTCTTAATAGTAGTGTAGTTAATTCGTATAATAGTTTATATTCGTTATTTTTATTTTTATTTATTTTTTCACGTTTTTAAAGTTTTAAAGTTACATTTTTTTTTCTATAAAAGCAATTGCCCATTAATTTTTCATACAATACGTTCCGCTCAATGAAATTTGTCACGTTAGTCTAAATTTGCGCTGTGATAATCGCCTGATATATTGAAAGATAGTTAGTTAGAAAGATAGTTATAACTTATAATCAAGCGAAGTCCCAACGGAAAGTTCCGTTTCAGGTAAAAATAAAATAAAAATATTAGATTGTGCACAAACAAGTTGCAGCCTAATTGCGTTCATGAATACCACAACAATCGACACAATAAACAATTTTACAGTATTTCACGAATAGCACACAAATTAAATAAATACAATACCTGTATAATAATACCCCAAGCAGTGGCATGTTTTTAAGGAACGGCTGCTCCTTCAATATTTAGGGGGTGGGTGGTTAATAATTAGATAGGTACTCTTGCTTATACGATGAATAAATTGTTATTTTATAACCGCCAGACATCAATAGACTACATAATATTACAATGTACAATGATAAGTAGTATTAGTATAATAGTATAATAATATATAGGTATTGTATAATATGTAGTAGTGTAGTACGTAATACGTATATTATGTTGTTTATACACTTATAATTTACCTATAATATATAATTACCAGGTATTTAAAAAATAAAGTTTTATTTAGCTAATAGTTTATTTTAATTGATCTTAAAAAATGATGGGACTTGAGCGAATTAAGTATGCATGTAACTGTAGCATTACTAGCATTTCAATGAAGCTTTTCATTATCATTAAGTAAATTGAATGTATTATCAGGGGCGGACTGGGCCGAAGGGCGAGGCACAGTGTTCTAGAAAGTTGATTTAGGGGGACAAAATTAGATTTTTTTGAATCACTAATTAAACTCAATATATTATTTAATTGAAAGATAGTTAACTATTGATTAGATAATATGGAGTTTTAAACCCGTACGCCACGCCATGTAGTGTACAGAAATACCTAATGGTCTATGATATGGTTTTTAATAACAACATAAATTATTGGAGTATATAGTGTGTTATATAATTCACATTGTCCATTGAAAGAACTTCTACGAAATATTTTTTTTTTTAAACTATTTTATATAGTAATGAAAGGTATATATGTATTTATTTTATTAATTTTGAGCTAATTTTCACTTGTCTAATTTAAGTTATTATGTGTGAAAATAATAGAAAATTTCTTGTTTTAAAATATTAAAGAATATGAAAAATAAGTAGAGAATAGTAGAGGTTATATATTAGTATTTTCCAAGAGCTATATATGTCCTATTAAGGATAATGTTTAGTTTGGTTGCGGTAATTTGCGGTTTTTCATTTTAGAACCTATATTAAACATTATATTTGTACATAAATTGGAGAAAAATTAAATAGAGAACAAATTAATTTCAAAATAAAAAAAACAAACCATAAAAATATTTTACTTTAAATAAAATATTTAACATATTATGTATTTTACTTTGTCACGTCAGTGATGCCATGCTAGCGGCACTTGTCGCTACGCTCCTCGGCGCCATCGCTCCGCTCCGCTGATCGAAAATATCCCTCGACTTGCTATGCAACACCACCCCAAGTAGGTCACAGGGTATTTACTAAGTTGCTAACTGTTGTATCAGTTATTAATCATCATGAAAATAATCAAAAAAGTGCAAAATAAAATTTCAGCAGTTGAACCCGATACCTGTCGCTATGTATGGTTTTCAATACCTTTAGACTACGAGTTCACATACAATAATCCCATAATATTGTTCATACATTAATTTAGCTAGAAATAAGGAAAAGGTATTCAGATAGTGCTAATAGTAGCTACGGTGTTTTTTTTAGAGCGACTACGATAATTGCATGTTTGAGTTAACCATCAAGGACACAAAGAATTCTTTAAAGTTTTTTAGTTTTGTGTATCAAATAAAAAGATGTTGATTGGACATTGTCATAAAAAAACTTATGCTGTATGATATTCGTGGAATTTTTGGGTCTCTACCTAGGATCGCCCGGGCCGATTTCTTACCCCAGTCCGCCCCTGTGTATTATACATTTAATTACATCATTTACACTGATCAAAACTGTTAAATAATTGATGATCAATTATCATGAAAAATACTATATTATACTATATTTTTATAGGATAAAAATATTAATTTATTATAAAAAAAAGAGGAAAATTATCCAAATTAGTTGTTCAATATATTTTTTACAGTAACAATGTGAGCAAAGCGAGTGATTTTGGTAGGTAGGGGTATTTAAAAAACAAGTGGATGGGTGGGTGGGTGGTTTGTAAGAATCTTTGCCTTCCAGTATTATCAAGTAAAGCTCTGAAAGTTTTAATTCCGTTCCCCACAACTTATTTATGTGAAAAGGCCTTTTCCGCTCTTGTATATGTCAAAAACAAGTTTCGCAATCGTTTGGAAAATGTAGAGTCCGAACTTCGATTAAAACTTTCAAATATTGAGCCTAATATAGAAAAAATTATGTCAGAAATGCAATATCATCCTTCACATTAAGTATACCTATAATAATTTTAAATCATAAGATTAATTTCAAATATCATAAAAGTAAAACAATAATTAATTTTTTATGTAAGACAAAATGTTAATGCAATAATATTAAATATAACGAAAATAATAAACAAAATATTTTTTATACTTATTATATTTTTATTTACCTTTCTTTTAAATATATTGGTAATTGTAACATGAAATATTTTTTAATAAAAAAAATGGTAATTCCTAACAAAATTAATAAGGTGGTCCGAGATTTAAAAATGTCCTTCATCAGGGGTCCGCGTAATAAAAAGTTTAAGAACCGCTGAGCTAAACTGTCGAATTTTGAGGACAAAAAATCCTAGACATCCAAGAAAAGCAAATGTATCCTGATAACATTAATAATATTTCGGTTGAGAGCACTGTTCGGAACGACCTAAAATCCTAGAATGATAACAGACTTGCGTATATCTATTGCCAATGTTATTGTTACCAAGTGAGACATGGACAAAACGAATAGAGTTACCTGTAGTACTACTTATACGTTCGGTTCGTGAGGTTCCTTTGTCCTGTTTGTTTTTATCGTTTCACAGTTGATTTGGATAATTTGTGTACTCATCGTTAATATACCATAGTTATGAAAATAATGAAAAAATATAGTTCAACACACACCACGCACGATAGCAACATTAAGGTGAGTGTGTTCTACCAAATAATCAGCACCCCTACTCATCGTTGGCCTTATTCCACCGCATCAAGGCCAATTGTTAAAAATATTGTACCTCATCCAAACCTGTGTAATTGTTTCGTTGAATCGTCTTTACACAAAGTTTTCGTTTATTCGGGGTTTTTTTTTTTTTTGTTACCACATAATAATGTTTGTGTTTTTTGCATTATGTTTTCTAGTCGATTTGTGTCATAGCCGAAGCATATTCTTAACCATAACAATCAGTTCTCCAGGGACGGCTTTTAACAGTCTGTACATCTAGTCAACCATTTCCTATCATAATCATGAGTTCTACAGACCGCTCAATATCATCTGGATTTCCAATACCACAGTGGATGAAATCTAAAATTAATGACAGGTTAGTATGTTTTTTAAAGTGCATTTAATTTATTCTTCAATCACAGTTATTGAAAAAGTTTGTTTCCTTATTTTTCTGACATTAATAATATTTTATCTAATCATTTTTATGTAAAATGATATTATTTTAGTCAATTAGGTACCTAGGTATATATTAAATAAATATAATATTTAATAATAGTTCGAGGGCTTTATATTAATTATGGATTATGTTGTAATAACCATTGTACTGTACAAACAACTTTTTCTACCATATGATTGATGTAATAAAAATACAAGTTTATTATGTTGATCTAAACTATAGGCCAAGATTAAGTTTATCTTGGCCTGTGATCTAAATCCATTTTTAATTCTTCGTGTATATGTTGTAAATGATAATTGTACTATATTATGCAATAAATCGATTTCATTCTTAGATAACAACACATGAAAAATAGAAAAATATTATACAAGTTTATTGTCATTTATATTATAAAAACTTATTTATTTTATATAAATTAAATGTTATCTATTTCATTTGGCTATATGATAGTAGTTTTTAATTAGTATAATATTATATCAGTATTTGTCATTCAATTCTGTTTATGTGTTTTGTTATATGTTAAAATGATATAAAATTATTAAAACTAGTTTTAACATGAAAATATTTTAATATGTTTCATTATATAGTTTAATTTCTTTAATTTAATGACTTATTTTTATGTAACTAAAGATATTTAAACTCTAAGTAAAACTAGGAATGTATTGGTTTTACTATAATAAGTAGTGTGTTGCCTTTTTTTTGTGTTTGTACGAGATTTTGACCTGAAAGTCTGATCCAAACATCATTAAATAAAAAGAAGGAAAAAAATGTTAGTTGGTACGTTTAGGGTAGGTCATGTTTTGAATTTCTAAACAGTTTCCCAAATAATGTAGAAAAATGTAAAAAAAAAAAAAAGCAAACCTTTCAATGGTGATTGAACCCTTACCATTTATAAACCACATTTTATCATGATTATAAGCACCTATCAAAATTGGCCATTTAATTAACATCTGGTCAAGTTTTTGATTTTCTTAAATTATTGATGTAAATTTTTGCAAAAAATGAACATTAAAAGTTTAATTTACTTAATTAAAAAATTTAAATCTATTACTTTATCAATAATCTTTAAAAATATAAGCTAACCTACCAGACTTCTTTCACTCAGAATGTTTTTTTCTAGAACAATGATAAATTGGTTTTAAATTTAAAAGACCCATTCAGCAATAACATTCATTCATATTTTTATCTCATTCAACTGTATAGTCACAATCAACCTAGAAGTTTTTTATTTTATATATTTATAATTTATAATAACTTAATTAAAAATAACTTTACATAACAATGTTAGGGGGGGGGGGGCAAAATTAATTTAAAAAATAAATAAAGATTTTTTTTATACATTTTATACATTCTTTTTTTTCCTTATATAGTTTTCTTCTATATATAATATATATGTTATATTATATATAGAATTCACTATATTGTTAATTTTATTCTTCTAAAATAGTTGAAAATCAAGATATCTCTAACCCATGAACATAATATATACATTTTATGTAGTAAAGTAATTATAACTTATAATGACTTATTATAATTATAATAAGTAATAATCTTAAGCATGAGCATCCCCAGGGGGTAGCAAGCCAGACCACTTGACCCCTCTAGAATTTTAAATTTGTTTTCCAAATCATTATCTGTAACGTGCAAATTTAGTAAACATAGATAATTTTAATATAACATATCTATGTTTACTAAATTTGCACGTTACAGATAATGCTTTGGAAAACAAATTTAAAATTCTAGGGGGGTCAAGTGGTCTGGCTTGCTAACCCCTGGGAATGCTCATGCTTAAGATTATTACTTATTATAATTATAATAAGTCATTATAAGTTATAATTACTTTACTACATAAAATGTATATATTATGTTCATGGGTTAGAGATATCTTGATTTTCAACTATTTTAGAAGAATAAAATTAACAATATAGCGAAGTCTAAACTGACATGTCAGAAATATAATAATCTATATTAATATTTATATGTGTTATAGGCAAAAATAGAAAATCATCAATCAGAGATAAAAATTAAGTTTAAGTTCAGTAATATTTTGAAATGATTTTTCAACCCTAAAATCTATACTTAAAATATGTAGGTCTTATTTTTATTCTACTGACGATACTTAATTGCTAGTATTTATAAATAAGTTATATTGTAAGGTTGACTCTGATTTTTTAAATAATTAGTAATATTTCTAACTGATTATTTTAAAACTGGTTTAATTATTTTATTGATTTACTTATGAATGAATTTATAATTTTGATAAATATTTTTTCTTTGTTAATTTAATAATGTATTTTTTACTTTTTTCAAAAACTGTTGAGCTTAAGTTATAGCTAAATAACTATTGGTCTTCACTATTTTTATAGTTTTTGCTTGATTATTAAAATGTAGAAATTACATCATTTACTATAATATTCACATTTAGTGTGTCCATAAATTAACAATTTTTCAATAATTTAGTCCTTATTTTATTTACACAATTCATAATTTTCTATACATACCCAAGTTATTTTTGAATAGAGTAAGCATATCAATAATTACAAAATATAATTTATGATAGCACCAATTTTGACTTAACATCCTCTATAGAAATGTAAGTTGCCTTTTTACGTTATTTATAAAACAGAAAAACTTAATTAATTTTTTTGAACACCATATCTTACATACACTACATTAGTAACTATTATTTATTATACTATTAAAATTTATCATTATTACATGAGTTTATTTATTTTTATGGTCCTGGAACTTGAATACATTATAATAAAAACTAGTTAAACTCTCAAGATAAACTCAAGTTCATACAGCTAAATTCTAACCCTACTATTAATTTAAAGATAATTGATCACACATTCACCACAACCCAATTAAAATAACCATGTGAATTTCAGTAATGAATGATTAGAGCCATGAATGCTTGAAGCGTGATTTGATATAAATTTAATATACATAAAATACCAATTATGATACCTAGTAATTAGTAGTATAAAATACTATGTTATTGTTGATTTTTCAAGTAGTTGTTCGTGATCAATTGTTTTATTTATTATCACTTCAGATTCTATTCATATAATATTATTTTTTAAGTACAATATTAACTAGTTTACTTAACTAAGTTTTATTTTATTGATAATTCATTTTATATAAATTGAATTATATTCATTTTTCATTTAGATACGATTTAGACCAACCATCATTTTCTCCAGCAGGAACAGATGACAGCTTCTTTTTAGTTCGCTATTTAAAACAAGATACAGTTAACGAAAAACAAAGTGGCACTTCGATTAAAAATAAAACATCTGAAGATAATTCATCAGAAAAACCTATTCAACATTTAAACAAAATGCCTCCAGCATTAATTGTTTCAGACCAACCAGAATATAAAGGTCATACTCTTGCTTGTCAACGTTTCATTACAAATGCTTGTGGTGGTAAGTTATTATTATTTTGTAGTGTAACATTTAAACTTATGAGTATTTAAATTTTTAATCGCTTTTTTAATTATCAAAATAAGTGAGTTTCCCAGTGAATTTATTTATTTATTAGTAAATAAAAAATATAATAGTAATTTGTTCAATGTATTCTTAAATAAAACTAAATATTCCAATTTATTTTAACCACAATTAATCCTACTAAAATATAATATACAGTCAAGTTTGTATTAATAATTAATAACTATTCTACTTTAAAATGTTAAAAAATGATGATCTAATTAAGTATTGAATTTTTTTGTTTGAGCATTATTAATATATTCAAATTCTGTTGAATTAAAGACTAGATAATTTGATAGTTTCCCTTTCATTCATGATTAAAATTATATTAAAAATGTTTTAAATATTTTTTTATAATAATTTGTAATTAACAGGATTTTATACAGGTTGTGTAATGTATTCTCTGCAAAATTTTTTTGTCCAAATAAAATAAAAGTCTTTAATTTTAGACATTATAATGTTAAATATTTATATACATTTTATAATTAAGTTTCTAAACTAAAAATCCTTTTTTAAATATCATCAAATTCTCATGAGTTTCCTTATAAAGTAATCTTATATTTTTTTTTTTTTTTTTTTATAACATACTGAAATATTTTATTTTTCAGAATAGCATGGTATTTTCTGTTAGTAAAATTTGCGTGAAAATTAAAAATAATGTAATTAAAACATTTGTTAGGACCATTTCTTTTACCAACAATTTGAATTTTGTAATTAAATTTATATAAAAACATTAAAGAACTATGTCTTATGATATTACAAATTATAAACCTACCTATTATTTTATACCTTAACAAATAATTAGTTAAATTTAACAATTGAAGAATAATTTATTTATACCTTTGTGGATTCTACAAATTACTTATACTGTTATGTATGTTTTTGTAATAAATTGATTACATTTTCAATAACTGTTATATAAATATGTATTATTTGACTGACATATAAGTTAATTACAATTGTATTTGACGTAAGAGAAAGAAATAATATGTTGAAATATCATTACTAATGAAAATCATAATTTCATTGTGAAAACATGTTAGTCATTAAATACAGTTTTGGAAATTTAGTGGAAGATTAAGTATTTAATAATTTAAAATATCAACAGTAGGTTTTTTATTATGGTATAATTTTTTATTGAACACTTTTTAGAAATAAAAATAAACAATTGCTAACAATCTGCTAACTATAATGATATAAGTTTATTATTTAATTTACTTTAATAATCATATTTAATTATTTATCTAGTATAATATATGTATACAAATATCATGATGTATTCTTTCTTATAATTATTTAAAAAATATGAAAATAGTTCAATATAGATTACAAACAGCAATAAACAAATTTCTTAATGTTATTGTCTAATTAAAAATAAAATAAGTTGTACTTTTTTAGCAATATAAATTTATTAAATTTAAGTAATTCCTATATTTTATAATATTCATATGACCATTAGCACATACCTCTATTTCAGGGGTGTCTACAATACTTTTGGACCAATCTTAACAAAATATGTTGGTATATTTAAAAAATTATAATGTATAAATAATTAAATAAATATAACTTTATTTTTTTATTTAATATTGTGGTAAATTAGTCCCATTGAATATGTTTGTCTTGAGTCTCATATATTTTTTTCAATTATTTATGATTTGTACTTTTGCCATCAATTGTAGCTTATTATATTATCATATCAGTATCATATCATATTATTAGTTTTTCACATACATTTAGAAAATTTTGTTTTTTTCTATTACAAAATATTATTTATATTTTACCAAATATTTTAGAATAAATTACATTTAATTTGAGAAACCACAGTTGAAATACAGACCCCTTAGACTTAAATTGCCGGACCTTATTTATAACATTTTGGGATGTGCCTGCAATTATATTTAATGATACATAAAAACTAAATACAACAATTGTTTTGTAAAAAAAAAATTTATATATTATTATAAATTCAAATATACTATTAAGATCCGTTATTGTAGTGTACATAATGACTCTAAACTAGTACATTATAATTATCATAATGAATAATTTATTAATTACTGGTGTTATTTATTTACATATATTTTTAAATGCATATAGCTTTAAAGATTACATAATGTTATACTACTATAATTATAATAGCTACTTACATGATTCATATTTTCATGTGCTTGTTTAATAATTAATATTTAATTTATTTACTTGCCTAAAAACAGTATTTTTTTCAGTTAATACACATCCAATATTGTAAGATCTCTGTCAAAAATATTTTCAATTAAATTAGGTATTTGATGAATAATGGAAAAATTTAATCTAAGTAAATGACAATTGTGTATTTGTACACTTTGAATATTTTATTAACTTTGTTCATTGACTTAAGATGTTTATGGTTTTACATTTAACTTACAATAAATTTGATAATACATAATTTAATTTATCTGCCGTAAGCTAAACTAATTATTATGAAATAATTTCTAAGAAGTTATTAATGTAAAAACTATATAGTAAAAGAATTATTGATTTTTTTTATACTTATATTTGGATTTGCATTTTGGTCTAATATTGATGAATAAATTAAAAATTAAATCATACTGTGATATATGTCACAAAAGAAACTTAATGTATACAGCTTTTTAAAATTCAAATCACTTAATAAAAGTAATCAATCCAATCTCAATAGATTTTATTTGAAAATTTTTTCTATATCCATATAGAGCTTGCAATATCAAAAATATTAATTATCAAAAAATAACAATGATCTAATTTTATGTACATTTTCATATTTATTTTAGTTGATCATATTATAATATATTAAGTAAATACAATATATTTTTTCATAGTTAAGAATTCCATAGAGATTTTAGTACATACTTTCGCCTATTTTGATATTTGTTATTTTCGTGTTTTATTTATAATTATTAATTACTGATAGTTAAATTTTATATATTGATTTAAATATTGCGTTTGTTATGTAGTCATCAAAATATCACGCAGGATTGGTAATTTAGAACATGATTTGTACCCATGTCCCATTATATAACTAATTAATGATATTATGATACGCTTTTCGATGGTTCAGCATTCACTGTCTGAACATAAAAAAAATAGATCACTTGGCAATTACATTTCTTACTGCGTAAATATGATACACTAGTCTGACCTGGACAACTAAACTATTTTAGAATGTAATAATTTTTTATACTTTCTGTGTAGACTTATCATATACCTATTCTAAGATAATGTAGATAAAACTTAAAACATTTAGAAGTTTTTTATTTAAAATAAGTTGCACGTGTGTGAGTAATTTGTTTAGATTGGCTTTATTTACTTGTATTAATTGTACCACGTATTCACGTGATAAAAAAAAATTGAAATCGAATTTTAATTAGCACTATTATTAGTAATTATAATCAAAATAAACAATATTAAAACTTATTAAAAACTAATTATAAAATAAATATTTATAGTTTAATAATAATACTTATAATTGACTCCTTATTGATTAGATTACACTATTATAATTTACTAGCTGACCCGACAAATGTTGTTTTGTCATATAAATTATTTCTAGAAAAAAATAACTAATTTAATATAAGTGTGTAAGGATGTGATATATAAGTAGAAGATGCATGGAGTGTTGTGAACGGTGACGAAGTATAAAAAGGAAAAAACATCAAACATTTATTTTTCTAATAATTTATTAAAATTGATCCTTTAAAATTATATATATATCGCTAATTATGAGAATATTAGAAAAAACAATATCAATCCCTCAATGCAATAGAGTGTATAATATTTTTTGCTATCCCATCTTTCGCCAACACAAAGTGGATGGTTCAAGAGCACGCCACGTATAATTGTCTGTGTAAAACACATGATATGCTTCAATCTAAGCCACAGACAGACATCGTTTGGCCTTGAGACTTATTGATAGTCATTGCAAATGCCAATCTAATTGGAAATTGAAGGCGTTTAAATTGTATTGGCACATCTGTGGGTATAATAGGGATTCGCGGTAATAATATACCTCGGAATTTGCCATTTAAAATGATGGCTTCGATAAAAATTTTCCTTAATTTTTTAATGGCTAATCGCGTGCCGTTACACGATCCAACCTTCAGTTGTAAATTAGGCGGTGGCTTGCCTGGTAAATCCAATGAGTTTAAAAACTGTTGGATTACAGCTTCAGTAGCATCGCAAACTGTATCAATAGATTTGTATGACACCAAGTTTCCTGGTAACAAATGTTGTATCTTGAGATTCAATTCGTTAACCTCCAAATGTTTTGCTGCTAAAATTGCTCTTTCTGCCAGCCACTCATGATTTGTGTATTGTCTGTGTAAATTGAGAAATATCTGGTCAATGAGAACATCTTGCGAATCAATGATTGTGCAGAAATCGGTCGGTAATTTTATGCAGCCCGTTTCATCTGTAGTAACTTTCCCATCACCGTTATCTAACAATTGTTTTGAGAATCTTCCGTACGCAGCTTTTTTTTGATTGAATCGCAAGTATCGAAATTGTTCGTTCAACATACATATTGACCATGAATTATTGACAAAGTTCATGACATCGTAGAATAACGTTGTCCTGATCGTGTCTAATCATCAACCGATGTGCTTAATAATCCTTTGAACTAACATTCTTGTTTGTTTTGGCACCTGTTGCGGGATCTTATTATTTAATATTTATGCAATACCCGTCATTTAATACCAATAGTAAAATTAATTGTTTCATTTAATAATTAATTTTCAATTGCGCAGTTATCGACCGGGACAAAAATTAATAAATTAAACTACGATTTAATAAACAATAACAGTTTTCCAAAAAAAAATTTCCATAAAAACCTCCTGGCAATTATGAACAATTATAAAAAATTTGGGCCAAATCGGCCCAGCAGTTCTCAATTAATGAAATGTAATACATTTTAGCCTCCATTTATATACATATATAGATAGATATCAACTGTTTTAAATTGTTTTTACAACTACCAACACATATTAATAGAGTTATGAATATAATATAAACAATTTAATATCAAATAAACTTCACTTACTATTCAAATTAAGTCTTAACATTTTTCTCAACAACATTAAATTGATAGATTTGAATAACAAAATGTATATTAATATAACTATCTGAATAACCCGGCTTCGCCTGTAAAAATAAATGCTTTTTATGTGTAATTAGGTTACAATAGGCTAATAAAATTAGAAATTTTTGGAAATTAATCTCTTATACAGAAATAAAAAATCGATAATAGTCGTTATTGGAGGAGGAGATAGTCGCTTTTGGAAATTATTCTCAGTAAAATAGGCACGTTCACTATTTTTTAGGTGTACACTGGAGGTGTGTGTGACGGTTGAGTTCCTTTCCGTTTTTTTGGTTTTTATAGCAACAGCAACTGCCCTTTCGGACCTTATCAGGTATACTGCTGTTTCCCTTTTGTTTTTTTGTGACCCTATAATCTATATCTGTACCAAATTTCATCAGAATCGGTTAAATAGTTTCGGAGTCCATCGGATACAAATTGTCGAGCATATCACGTATAATATTCACTGTAATAAATGTTTGACTTATTCTAAGACTTTCTAAAAACGTTCTTTCATACAAACCTTGTCCAAACAATTACGAATATAAAAAAAAAAATTAAATCGGTAAAGGTGGTCTAAGGTTATGGTGTGATCTAAAGAAATAGGGATTTTTATAGATTATACTATAAATATATATTTTAAGTTCTAAAGTAGTAAAATATCTATATTGGTTGGCAAATATATGTTAAGCTCGTAATTTAGGGGTATTGGTGAGATAGATCGCCCCGTCTCCTAAAATCATATTTTAGTAATCACGAATTGAGATATACAATACATATCATTTTATTGCACATAATTTAAGCCCCAATGATTTTGAAGAAGGTAATCCTCAAAAAAAAAAAAAATATGTACCTATTTACGTGCCTGTAATATGTGTAAGATGAATTCTCAAAATTTTAACTGTAAATTTATTTTGAGACCTACTTTTGTTTTCAAATCCATGTTTATTTTTAGCTATCTATAACTAAAAAATTAAAATAAGCTTATGTTTTTGTTATAGATGCAGTAGCAGCAGCAAGCTTAGGGGTAAATTTAATTGACCCTCCAAAATCATTGGGAGTTGATGATGGTTTTAAAAGTGGAGCTTCTGAATGCGGTAAATCTATCGTAGCAATGGCACATCAAATGGTATCGGGACATAGAGTTTACAAAGGACGTTCCTCAGGTCCTCAAGAGTTACTTGTTGTTGGGCCACCACAATCTATGTTATCAAAAAGACGGAACAGTAAATCACTCCCTGCGAGTCCTCTGAGTTCACCTCCCGGATCACCACGAGCATCTCGTAAAAACCCTTATTTCACAGCGCCGTTCCAAGAAGAATCAGGAGATAAACATGGATCATCATGGATATTATCAAATTTATTTTCACACCGAGCTGATTCACAAGAAGAATTATCTGATAAAGAATCTAAAAGACTCTCCAAACCATCTTCTTCCAGCAATTTATACATAAAACCCAAACCTACAGAACTGAGAGAGATGAACTTTTGGTCACCTACGTCAATGTAAAAATGTAAGCTCATCCAATATTACCCATTGCAAAATGATTATCTGCACTATTGTTTTTATCATAATTTTTTTATCATTAGCATAATTTAATATTTATCCTTATTTTTCCTTATAATCTCATTAACTTTGTATCTGTAAAAATAATTTTTATTTTTAAGTATTGTTATTTTTGCTTTTTTTTATCATTTTATAATATTATTAAGTACCATAATAATTATAACACGAAGACAATACATTGTATAGTGTGCATTATGTATACATATAAAATATAAGTAAAATAAATTGATTAATATAAATTTTTTTTATTTTAACAATTATCATACTTTTCTTTTTATATTCATATAATTAGTATTCTAGTTATTTGAGTATTATTTTAATCCATTTACATAATCTAGTTTATGGTTTCTATAAATTGAATATTGTGATAAAATTTCATTGCAATATTCAACTACTGTATATGCTTTTAATAGTACAAAACTTTTAGCTTGTATAAAGAAAACTAACTTGACCAATTTCTTGTGTTGAAAATGGTTATGTGCAGATGTTTTATTCTAGTTAACAAATCAATAAACTAAATATTTTAATTATATATGCTTTATTTTATAGTGTTTTTAGGAGATATAAAACCGCTTATTCATATGAATTGACCATGGTTTAATATTAAACGACTCATAGAAATTATAATTCAAGGTCATCATATTATAACCAATTTGTTTTGTACTTTTAGTTGGTTAATTAGTTTAAAGTGTTTTTTTTATTTAATATGGTTATTTCACCTTTTAGTAGGTTTGCTAAAAATAAGATTATCAAAGACAATTTCCGTGTTCATCATTAGATATAAATTATAATTAATGAGTATTTAAAAAGTTCATTTAGAAAACAAATTAACTTGCATTTATTTCGCAACAAAAAAACTTAGTTCAATTCCAGTTCTAGGTTGGAAGAAATGAACTGGTTCCTCTCTTCGTTTTGACAAACAAGTTAGAAAACAAACCTAACCTATATTCCTTCCCAGAAAAAGGGATCACATAGGTATCATCTAAAATAAGTTATTTTTAAGTTCTTAGCTTTGCTAAGAACTAATAATAAATTATAAGTGACAATTTTAAATTGATATACGAATGTTCAAGAAAATTATAACTTTATAATAGAAATAATTTTGTTCGTTATTATTGAATGTAGGTTTTGACGTTTATAATAAGTAGGTAGGTACATAATTTGGGATTCTATTACAAGGTCGTCAACAGGCGGATACTTTGTAGAGAAACTTAACCCCTCTCCACCATCGCCTATATGAATTTGAATTCTCCCACAAAATTGTTACTTGTGTATTTAATAACATTATATTATAACTATACATCACTTTGATTTTAAAATTACAAATTTTTTCAATGATGACTAAAAAAAATAATTTTTCGAATTGAGGCGGTTTGGTAATCAAAACAATCGTTTGTTTTTTTCATTCGGATACCTACCATTTATAAATTATATTATGTGAATATTTAGTTCTTAAATATTAGAAGAAAGATTTCCAGCTCATACATTCCATCACTTAAATTAGTTTTTAATTTAATATTTATTGTTGTTTGTATATGTAAACAGTTTGTGCGTGATTATAAGTACGAAGTTGTATTATCCTCCCGCTAAAAATAAATATTTAAAATAAGAAAAGAAAATGTAATGGTTAGCTTCAAATTGTATTGTCTTTATCTTGTTAATATATAGATAAATTCGTTGATTTTGGAGTAAAATTATTAAATTTAACACCGTAGCGTTTCAATTTATAACGTTCAAATTAAAATTTAAGTAAAAACATCTATTACCAAATTTAATGAGAAAAATATTTTCTAATGCGTCTCGAGTAAGTACTTAGTATTTTTGTAAAACACTCAACAAAGAAATCACAGCCATAGAAGTAAACAAGAGCTAATTTTAAATTTAGAACTAAAGCTACATATATATATACATCTTATTGATAATTTACTGGAATAAAATAAGAATTTTCTTAAAGCTGTCCCTTCAATTAGAATAGAATAAATAGAACATTAAAGTTGTATACTTGTAAAATTTGATATACATTTTATACAACGTATGTAATATTTTTTAATTAAATGTTATTTTTAAATTTTCATTATTTACGACTTTAATTTAAAGATTCACGTGGCAGAAAAAAAATATATTTTTACTCACAAAAAAAACATTAAGTTTGTTTGAATATTCATCGCTAAAAATAAATTATTCACGTTTACACGTGCTCATTTAAATTTATTGCAACGGGCGGTACTCCTTTCGCCCAAAAATGACCTTCCTCTTTTTGCCCACGTCCTCTTTTGGACTAAAAATGAAAAAACGTTTCCTCTTTTCGCTCAAAAATAATTGTATTATTTTCGCCTATGGTTTCACGTTTTACATTTTGGAAACCACTGTCTCAAAATTAATAATTTTTAAAAAATCATATAATAATCAAATAATAAAATAGAAAAATATATAATTATTAATAATAATTAATAATAATTTAATAAGTGTTAAAAATAAGTATTTAAAATAGTGTTATCGATGTAAAATAACTAATAAGTAATTTGATCAGGTTACTACTTAAATAAATAGTTTGTTTTTTTGTTGTAAAATAATACAAATATTCATATTAATTATAACGTTTATTAAAGTGTTTTAAACTATATATTTCAATAGAAGAGTCGGCACCTTTATACACTTTTCTCGACTGACTATATTAATAACAATCAAAAACTCTTCAGTGCACCGAAGGACCAGACCAGGCTAGGTTAGATAACTAACCAGGCCGATAACAATATCTAGATTACAAATATAATTGATATAACATAATATATATATATGTATATAATATAATTTAACAAATTTGATATCGATACGTAACACTCGTAACAGCTTTAATTTTAGTATGTCGTTTACTTTTGTACCGAATAGTGTGATTGTTTTTTCTCGTGACTACATTTTATAAAAATGGAATTTTTAAAAAGTAAAAGAGGTGGTCGTATGGTTCTTTACAATAACTTTAAGTACAATTTTGGATCGACTAATAAAAAAGACAACTCTACCCGTTGGAGATATGTAACAAGAACGTGTGATGCAAAATTATATACAGATAAAAATGATGCTTTTATTTCAGTAGTCGGAGAACACAATCATAATGAATATGATAAATCGAATATTAATCGCCAAATAATAAATACAGCATGTAAACGAAAATCTTTAGAAGATCTTTATACAAGACCGAAAAAAATAATTTTAAAAGAAATTGCTCAAAACGACGCATCATCATATTTAAACGTAGTTGATATAAAAAAGTTAAGGAACACAATATGTATAAATCACGTGCAAAAGTCCTCCCTCCTAACCCTACTGATATAAATGAAATTCATCAGTATATTAACGCAACTGAAATAAACATTACAAGATGTGATCATTTTGTATTGAATAAAGATGAAAATAAAAATGTTATAATATTTTCCTGTGAAAATAATTTACATTTCTTGAGCAATGTTGAAAAGGTATAAGTCGATGGCACGTTTAAATATTCAACAAGATTTTTTGAACAAATGTTCACTATTCATGGATATAAAAATGGCCATTATGTACCATTATTTTTTGCCTATTAGTTGATAAATTGGAACATACATATAAATTTATGTTTAAAAAAAAATCACCAAAAAATGTAATAGCCTTGGATTACGTTTATCGCCGTTAAAATATATGGTTGATTTTGAATATGCGATACATAAAGCAATAAAAATTGTTTGGCCAAATACGGAAATAATTGGATGTAGGTTTCATTTTGAAATGTGCAAAAATTTGGTTTGGCTACACTATAAAGACGAGTCTTCAGATATCGATAAGTGTATACACTACACGTTTGGTTTACTATTTTTAAATCCTGAAGAAGTAGGTGATTGTTATGTAGAAGATTTAATGAGTGACTGCCCTGAAAATGAAAAACTACAAAAGTTCTGTGATTATTTAACTAATAACTATATATCCGATGAAAGTATGTTCTCACCATAGCTTTGAGCAGCTAAATCATCAGAGTTAATCAGGACAACAAATGCATACGAGTCCTTTCACTCATTTTTTAACAACAGTTTTTATAGTAATTCTCCACCAATTCATATGTGGTTGGCTGTGATACAAGAAATCCAAACTGATGTTTATATTAAATTAAATAGTATTCACTTACAACACTTACCCAAAGATAGACAAATAAGAGAACGCCAATTAAAAAACGAAGAAACCATTGAAAAGTACAATAGAGGAGAGTTAAGTCGGTATGAGTTCATTAAATCAATGGCATTCAATTATACAAAAAATGTAAATACAAATTAAATCCATGAATTACTTTTTTTTAACGACGTCATAAAAATAAATGACAAATACCTAAAATATAATCTTATATTAACGAGCTAGTGATCACTATTATTGATTATTATATCATTTATTTTATTATTGTGTAAAAAAAGATATAAGTATCTAAATATAATAAATATCAATAACGAATCTATACATAAATTATGTAGATATACCGTACGAAATTACCAATGCAATGTTAATTATTATTAATAATTATATATTTTTCTATTTTTTTATTTGATTATTATATGATTTTTTAAAAATTATTAATTTTGAGAAAATGGTTTCCAAAATGTAAAACGTGAAACCATGGGCAAAAAGAGGAAGGTCATTTTTGGGCGAAAAGAGTTCCGTCCATTACAACGGATTTAATAATAAAATTGCAATAGACGTATATGCAAACCCGTATTTAGGAGAAGGGCATGGGTAGGCACATGCCCGGGGGCGTCAAGTTTCAGGGGCGACAAAATATTTTGGCAAAATTAATTTTAAAAATTATGTACCTAATGAAAAAAAAAATAGTATGTTTTATTATGTTATAATTTATCAATTAAAAAAAAATTGTATTTTTATTATATTATATTTTGTTAGTTAAAAAAAGTATTAAACGATTTTTATTTATAAGTTATATTTTAATATTAAAAAATATAGATTATGGACGAAATAATAAGTGTTATATTATTATTATTTATTTATTGGTGGGGGAGGGGCATAAATTATATCCTCGGGGGTGCCAAATTTTATAATACGGGCCTGCGTAATATGTATATATTACATAGTGTGATACAAATACGGAACAACATTAAAGTCAAGACACTTAAGTACTTTTTTAAATCACGACACTGATACACTAATAAT